AGTGACATTTGTTTTCATATTTGTTGACAAATATGTAAACATATGTCGTCACAGTGTGACGGCCTATAGAGAATGAAACAAAAATTTAAATGATTAGACATTTTCGCACAAGATAATTTTGTCCATGGTATTTTAAATTTACCTTACGAATACATGCTTCGGCATGGCTGTTGATTTCTTCTATGCTTCCACTGACTTTTTGACTGCATATAGGGCATGTACTGTTAGAAATGCCAATACCGCTAGTACTGGCTTCGCCAACTGTTCCCTCGGCAACAAGACCTCCCAGGGCAAACTCTTCAGATACTCGCTTCTTCTTTCGGGATCGTGCAGCTGTCAAAACAGAATTGTGTTCCAAAAAATTTAAACAAAACAACATAACAAAAAATTGTATGTGCAATTTTACAAAATAAAAACTATCCAATATTTGGATATGAAAAATAAATTCCCACATTCAATCTTCTATGTAGTCCCACCCACTTGCAAACCCCTCCCCCATTCCCTCATCCCCTGTTATAAATTCAAAAATAATACATAAATTCAAACCATAAATCAAAACCCCAACCCAAAATGTGTAAATTTTTAAGCCCTTCAGCGGAAAATAAATTACAGTTGCCGATTTCACGATCAGTGGGCATACTATAGCCCAGAACTGGTCACTTACCATGAAGACGCTGTTGTCTGTTTGACCTCACCCGCTTGAAATTCTGAAATGTCAAAATAATCACCGTTAAGATTTTCAGATTGAGAATTCATGATCAAAATGATGAAGTGCAGACACTAAAAGGTGTGATTTGATCAATAATACCTCATCTGGTGATGTCATTATGGAAGAAATTGGTGGATGCAAGTGATTGAAAAGACCACAACATACAGCTGTCAACAAAGCAAAATAAGCTAAGCAGGGTTTCCCGGAGCGCCCTCTATAGGCAGGAGAATCCCAAAGCATTCAGGTAATTTGCATAATAATGGGACAAGTGGCAGCTCCCTTGTTATTGTTGTTCCCTGGTAATTTCTTCAATGGACACCTGCTTTCAAAGTTAAAAATAGCACCAATAATGCAAATTTGTGAATAGACATCATCTGGGCCAAATTTAAACTATCAATTTCACAAAAAGACTACAATCTCAATCAGTTTTAAATTCCTGTTAATCATTTGCAATTTTTTTGGATTGATTTTGATGATAAGTGTAAAAGAAAGTGAAAAAAAAAATAAATGAAAATGTGCTGTTTCAAACAGTAAATGTGGTGAAAACTGAAAGCATGTGGAAATGCATTCTAAACAGAAATTTAGCTAATAGCGCCCTCTATAAAATTATACCTCATATCTGGCCAGAGAGGGCAGGTCACTGCCTCCATCTGTGTTTTTCTCAGCTGGGGATTCAGTTTGTGAAGCAGGTAGACTGGAGACCTACAAAAAAAAATACACTTTCTTTTTCACTTTATATTTCTAAACTAAGTGTGGTATATCTTGAGGAATAAAAGCAGGTTTGTGAGCAATCAGAGCACTAAAACCATGTTTTCGACTTTTTTTATATTTATGAAGTGTTGGCTACACAACGTTTAAATTTCGGAGCTTACCCGAAGTAAAGAATATTGATATTTATTAATATCAAAACACTAATGTATACAAGATTATTTATGTTTTAAAATAGGCATTATCTCAAGTTTTTTTGTTCAATGAGGGAGTTTTATATTTGAAGTGATCCAAAAGTTTGTGTTCATAACCCAAGTCACTCTTTTGTAAATAAGCAAGACACCAATATAGTGGATGGTTTCACAGGAAACAAAATAAAATTCTAGGAGATATTCAAGTCTGAACTTCCCTGGCCAACTGTAAAAACTTCTGATGACGAAATAGCTAATTTGCATAATCATTCTGTCAATTTACAGACTCCTATTAAAAAAAGGTAGTTGTAATTTGAGTGTTTGTTTTAGGACATTCCACTTGAAGTAAGATCTCAGTAACTTTAACAGTATGATGCCATGCAGGTACATATGAAAAGTGCAGAAACATTTTTTTTAAAGGTATGAGTTGCCCGAGAAACTACATCTATACCTTAATTATTATAACCACACCTGCAACGTCACATCATCAATGTCATAACCTTGTCATACCATGGTTGCTAGGCAGCGTATCATACCAAGTCACATTAGTAGTGTTCACGCTACACGAAATACGGGCTTACGATTTAAGCTAATTTCATATGTTTGCATATCGGATAGACCCAATTGCGTGCACGCATGGGAGGAAACAGTGGTTAATTAGCACGGGGTAAGGACTGTCCAAACTTGTTAAAAATATTCAAAAATCTTCATTCATTTTAATTAGGATTAGTATAGTAATCAGAAAGATATACGTTACTTCTACGGTTATAAAACAATACCAAAGCAAATTCAGAAAGTACAGATTGCAGAATAACAGGACGAATCGATCAAACGACATTCAATACAATAGCGTTTTGTGCACTAAGCCCGAGCTAAGCATTCTCGCACACTTCGTTAACCCATGCTAAGAAACTGGGCCAGTCTTAAAAACTGACCAGATTTAATCCATACTTGCGTGCGTGAATGCTCAGCATGGGCTAAGATATTTGACCTCTTAGCCCGTGCTAAGGAACTGTGCATGAACACTACAATTGGATAATCTGCCTGGCACATGGAGTCCATAGCAGCTGTTAGGGATACTACATGAGCGTCCCTAATCATATGATTATATATCCTTGCGTAGGATAGAGATCAGGGATTTTTTCAGAGATGCATCATCTCCCATCCCATCCCACCTCGCCCTCCCACCCCTCCTCACCTTCCCACCCGTGAGTACATATCTCACATGTTTTTGATTTGTTAAGACATGGTTGTCAAAAAAAATGTTACTCCCTTTCTATGTTGAAAACACTGATACACTACAGGAAGAGGTACTGCACGCTCCACAAGTAACGAGTCATTAATTAGAGTAAAGAAAACTAATAATCTAACAAAAGACCATTCATTCTTGTTGCCATATGTATAAACATTCGTATCAAGATTTCATAAATCAATTCATTCATTAAGCCGGGCCTTCCTACGCATGGACATTATATTTATTTTCCCAAGTTACCGCAAACAGTCTGTCAAATTCTCAACACAAGTAGTGCTCTATATAATTATTAGCTAAGCGATCATTCATGATAAGTTCCCCCTTTAGGCCAGAAAAAAAAAAGGTTGATTTCTTGTCTTCAGGAAAATTGAAAGATGATACAGCAATGCGATATTAAGATTTTTCAATACCAGTACAGCAAGATCTTAGCAGTATGTTAAACATTTATCAAATATTATTTTCAAATTGAAAGTTATTTGGATCCACAAAACTAACTCTGAAAAGGAAACCAAACATTACTCCATTCTTCTTTACATTATTTGTACACAACATTGCAAAAAAAAAAAATATGTAAGGCACAGATTTCAAACTGAAGCATGTGTTCAGCAAAACCTTTGGTTAACCAATTAAAATATTATCATTCAGACACATGGAATATATGCATTCAACAATATACATTCAACGTACATTCTCTGTACTTTTCGTCGTCAGTACCTGCCACTTCCTGTCTTAAAGATCCCAGTGAAATGAACATTGCTACAAAATTTCAGTTTCTCTTAACTCGTGAAATTAATGAAAATGTGTATTTTCACAAAAATAATGTTTTTCAGTACTTGTTGTAATTGTAATATATGTATATTTAAATTATGGCAAACTCCTAAAATCATGATTCAATATTTTGTTAAAATTGTCATCAAAACAAAAGTCTTCTTCCAAAGACTCTTTTCTGATGGCTGTCTTTTAAATTCATCAACAGGAAGCAGCGCCCTCTATCAGTCTAAATTGGCTAGTACCACATCTGAACCACATCATTCTGCCAACAGCTACTAGTTTTAATGGTAGTTAGATTTCTGTTGCAATATAATCTAAATTATGGAATCTAAAAATTATTAAATCAATTAAAATTAAAAATTTCATTGTTTTTCTTTTATTTTATTTTTTGTATAATTGTTTGATCAAAAAATCAGGAAACTGTGAAAGTATAATTGAAAATAAAAAAATGTCAAAACTAAAAGATGCAAGAAAAAGAATATGCGTTGACAATTGGTAAAAGAACGAAAAATATTGAAAATTGAGAAGTTCCACCTGACTTTCATATTCTCTTCTTGTCAATGTCAGCCATATTCTTTGTTTTCATGGCAACTGAGATCATCTCACCCCATTTAACATTTTACGTCCCAAAATGGCAGCCATTGTGTATACTTTAATTTTCCCTCCCACCCCCCTTTTTAAATATGTAAAATATTCTCAGTATTAATCTATTGGACAGTTGATTATCCTAGATACAAATTTAAGACAGGGGCCAAGAACAAAAAGAAGGTGCTGACATTCATACATTGTTTTGGGTCAGTATATTTGCATGATTCCAATTACTTCATCTTACCAACTCCCAATGGAAGGTGAAGTCGATTTCACTCCCGAGGCTGTACTGGACAGTCGCTTGCAGTTGGACAGAATTAAATGTACCCACGATATTATAAAGCACATTGCCTCAGGATCGACTCGGGCTAGATCGAGAATAATGCGGTCGTCGACACACACACAGTTCAAACACAGGAAGCTGGATTGCGTATGTGTATAAGTCTTGTTTGTTATATTAACATGGCTACATACTCTAGTTGCACATTCTTAGAACCACACACACTAAATGTAATAACACAGTACATAGTTAGTAGTTATAGAATAACTGTGCAACTATCACAGTGGTTTACACTAAAGTCACCTATAAGGCATACATGTTATATATTATTTATAAAGTGACAAATTTATAAACTTAAAAGGCAGTTGCGCATTGTATAATCTCAGTGGAACAGGTTGTTTTAAATTTATGCTTGATTAATGTGCACTTCACAAAATTTTGGGGACGGGTCTGTGTATAGTCAGTACAGTTGTTTTACTTGGATTCGAATAATATTTGATTACAAACGAAAAAACCTTTGGGTATAAGAATATTTGTAAAAATAAACATGCCTTTGCCGATTTCAATGTAAATTAATTATTTTGAATTTACAGTGAGTTAGTGTTGTTACATTTTTCCCAGCTTCAATCTAGGAAGACTATGAAATGATTAAAGTAAGAAAACCAAAATTAGACAAAGCGCACAATTTTCAATTTCAACATATATTAGTTCAGAATGGGGGTTGGGAACATTGATGAACCCATTTATTCTGTGTGCCACATACCAGTGTTGTCACAGAACAACTTTTAGCATTTACTGTAAAATACTTTATTTTCGATTGGAATTAATTTTTCACTATTTTCGCTGAGGGAATGATTGAGTGAAAATAAAAATCCAGTGAATTTACTATTTTTCCTATACTTTACATTCAACTCATCAAAAATCAATAAAAATAAATTCCATACAAAACGCAGAAATGTCTTTTCGCGAAAATTTATTCCAGCTAAAATTAAGTATTTTACAGTAGTAAGTTTGTTCATTGATTTTGTGATCATTTCACAGATCTATGACTAAATCATCAATTTGTACGAGGTTTCCATCCTAGTTTATTACACTATGTGCATACTTTATCTTATAAATTTATGATAATAGTAATCAATGACAAACTGAGGACATTAACGTACGTTTTTGTTTCCTGTTTTTACAATTCTTTTCAGATGTAAATGTACAGAACAATTTTCCATATTTTTTTTTTCTAGAATTTCTGTTAATTTTTGAACAAAATATGGATAAATATGCCGGTTTTATTTGGTGAAAAGTAACAAAAACTGACTTTGGTATTAACAGGATTATAGTCTGTAAGTAGAAAAGTCAAGAGTGGAAGCCAGAGCACAGAATCGAGTGCTGTGTCTAGCCGTAAATTATGTCAATTTTTTTTTTAAAACATATTATAAAGATATGAATGGTAGTTCCTTAGGGAAGCCTGATCATGCAAAGATAACAAATCGTCTACTGAGTACTTTTCTCGTTTTTTAAAAGCTTTGTATCATTTTTTACTATCCCTGTACAAATCTATTAAATTGGTAACATCTTAAGCAAGGTGAAACATACCACCCTTCAATTATTAATAAAGGTCCTTTGGGTACGTTTGAACTAAGTGAGTTGGTGCGGCTGATTAATCATGTACTTGTGCCCACAATGCAATGCACCCCACTTGGCTGTTCCATTATTCTAGCTGCACCCCTACCAATTTCTGTGACATTTAAATCCATCCCATTGTTTGGTGTTCATCCATTTCTACATTGAGGGATTTGAAAAATAATCAAAGTCATGCATTATTTTTCACTTTTCCTGAATAAACCAGCTCCATTTGTTTTCTGGATGAGTGATTTTTTTTTTCTTTTCAATTTGTCTGAGGCTGATTTTCTATTTTTTAAATTTTATTTTTAATCAAAATAAGATTTCAAAAAATGCACCCGACTCTGTATTATTATCAGTAGCATTCAACCTTGCGGCATTGCTGCAATGCATTATGGGTTTTACAATCATTTTTATTGTTCTGATTTACAAGATGCAATAAGATGTACATCGTTTAAAAAAGATTTACCGGTAGATCTTTTCCTGTTTTACCTAGTAGCTTTATTAGTTTTTTTCAAATATGTATGTGCCAGCTCCAAGAATTCAGTGTTATTGTTGTATTAACTCTCCTGACCTGAGTGCATGTATGTCTATAATTGCAAGTGCTAATCATGAACTGTATTTTTTTTTTAATTCCACAAAAACCACACTGCATGTTTGGACTACATGAGGGCTATGCAACCATCTTTCTATAATTAATTTAATGTGACATCCAGACACCAACCATGCTTGGTCTAACACCTGCAGGCTTCAAAGTCAGCTCTATAATTTATTTTAAAGCCGCTGCACATTTTGGGTAGGTAACATGATGTACTTATTAATTATTGTGTCATTCAAAATTCTATCAACTTTGACATAGCGAGAAACTCCATAGGGGAAGGGAGCCATTCATAAATTCTAACAGCTCACCATCAAGCCTGATATATAATACAATTGTGTCAATAATGGAATCAGAATTTATTAAAAATAAGTAAAAACCATATCAGATAATGAGATCAGGTGATTACTGCAAGTAATGCCGGCCATAATTGTTTAAATACGTACCTGTTTTTCTTGTAGGCTTTTCCTGTTACTTCTAAAACAAACAAAAAAAAAGAAATATTAACTATAAGTGTTAATTTAAATTGTTAATGGCTGAGAAAAATAAAACTTTGTCTCAAATGAAGTTTAATTTATCAGACTAGCGAGAAATACCGCAATCTTCTCTGCATTCAATACGAAGAAGTCACATCAGAAATAGACATGATGGGATAGTACGAGTCTGGCAGTAAATTTTTAATTTACCGGTACTTAATGACTTAACTGAAATGTGACACTCAAAATCACTAAAACTTGCCTAATAAAAAAAAAAAATGATAAAGAAAAAAATGGATAAAAATTTGACAAAACAAGATTTTGCATTACATTTTGCACACTTTAACTTTTATTTATTTTCCAAGAAAATCACAAAACATTTCACTGGGGGATATTGGGGAGATGATCATCAACAACTTTAGCAAAATTTTATCTATTCAATGTATAACAAAATTACAACCATTTCAAATTGGGAAAATTCAACGTATTAAAGTTATTTCATAAATAAGTGTCAGAGACAACAGTACTGCGTAAATACTAACACGCAATATAGGGACACAAACCAATGCCATGATTAATATTTTGCTAATGTCATGCATGTTCTGCATTCCATTTTTGTGACCGCATTTTTTTACATCACATCAAATGATGTGGCTTCCTTAATTACATATTAGGAAAAAAAAACAGGAAGCATTAAGCAAATTTTTCAAAACAATCACATGTGCTAGAGGCATCGCGTTTACTTGAGGATAACTTAATATACACATCTAAAATTTAAATTATATTTATAGCACAGAGGTTTTTGTATGATACAGTATATATAGAGTTAAGGAAATGAAAAACCGCAAACCAATGAACATTTCCTTCGAGGTTTTTTTATACAATCATAAGTTTTGATTTAATAGGCATCCATGCTAAGATGCTCAAATTCCCATCAACCGAACTCGGCATAGTCAAAGCGGTAATAGCAGTGAAGTTAGGCTGCCGGGAGAAACAACTCCCTATAGCAACTTTAGCAATTAGAAAATCCACAACAAGCCGCTCGTTTTCATTAATAGAGTTAAACAACACCAACCCACATGTGACTTGGAAAACAAAATTGACGAGAAGAACATCTCAACCTGAAATTGACTATTTGCGGGGTCACATAGGTAGTTGTGATCGTTAATTGATCACAATATCGATTTTCGCATGTACAGGAAAAATTTTTTTTTTCAGTGCAAATGTAGTACATTGTATTTTTTATTTTAAAATTGTGTTTAAATTTGTGCTTATATTTTGATTTTTTCATGAAAGTTCAATTTTTTTCTTGTATTTTTTCATAAATTCTGCCAAAAAAAATCTGAAAAAAAACACACAAAATGATAAAAAAACTGTTTTATTTTCCTGAATCCAAGATGTATATTACCTATTGACTGAGCTATTTATAGATAGGAAAATTAATCGGTTATATTAAATTTATTGAAATTGATATTTACACAAAACTCAAAAAAAAAACTCAAATAATTCTCATAGTATATAGTTTCAGTTTGTAGAAAACAAATTATTCATATCATACAATACCCTCCCCCCCCCCCAGGTTTTTTTTTTAATGTGCAACACACATGCAGTTGAGGACCATTTTAATAAATTGGATGCACTGTATTGATAATCAGTATTTATGATTCTACTGAATACCATCCATACTACACTTGGTAAATCATTTGCTTTCCTTGGTTTATTTCTTTTCATAGAAATAACTCAATAAAAGTCACCTACGGCCGGAAAATTAAGTAACTAACTAAAAAGGAATCTTTGTAAAAAACAACATATTTGTGCAGTTGGAAGCGGACTCCCTTGGATTCAACAAAAGTTAAGAGAGAGGGGGCGTTTCTTACTTTAACAAGCAAGTACATGTTATGTGTTCATCAAAAAAAAGAACACATAACGCTCTCACGGTCATTATTTTTATCTGCAGACAAATCTGGGACATAAACTTTCAAACTTTGTTGCTGTTTATCCTGGACTTAAATCGTTAAAATTTGAAACTACTGGAAGGTCGCTAACAATATCATATGAAGAACACCTATACGGGTGACGTAATTTTACAATAGCATTTGAAATAGTAACAAACACACTTTAGTTCATTAACCTTTTCACCATCAGTTCCTCTTTTCATCACAAATTCACAAAATAGTCTCGTTTATAGTCTGTACTTTACTTCAGAAGATTTGAACAAAAATAACCAAATTCTTTGAGTAAAAACTGAAAATTGAATCAAATTCTGTCTGTTGGCTCAAAAATTATGGTTCATTTCCAGAAATACTGAAGAATATAAGAAAGTGAAAATCAAACTGTATTCTCAATAAGACTTCCTGGAATGTCAATTCTTATTCATAGCAATCAAAAGAGTGGTATCAATTTCATAGCAACATCATTTTCCCAAATAAGCTTATCGTTAGGAGTTACTATGTCAGCAAATTTGTGTCACTGGTGAAAAGCATCGCTATATATATACAAGTACTCCTCCACCTTTAATATTTTTACATCAAAATATTTAGTGAAAAATTTCAATTCTTTTAAAATCTTTCTATAATTTATGGAAATTTCAAACATATTTTTAAAAATACTTTCATTGAAATTTTGTGCAAAGTAATTTGAAAAAAAAAATGTACCAAATTAATAAAAGTGCTGGTTGACCAACGTCTACAATTCTTCTGAGGAATAATAATACTGAAAGTGAGTTTATTTGTCCTACTCGCCATCTAATCTGCCTCTTACATGTAACTGTGCCTGAGTACACTAAATATCACCTCTGAAATCATGAATACTCCCGAAAATATGAGAAATTTGTATGATGAAGCCAACAGCACTGGATTTAGTCTGCGATAGACACATAATACACTACATGTAAGACAAATGATGTTGTCTGCAACGACGGTTGCCATGCACGTCATTATCAGCGCAAACACAGTTGTTTGCAAAGTGACTTATTGTAGTTCAGAGAATAGATTTATATTCTGGCATTAAAATCTAAGCTTGTTAAAAGGTAATTGTTGAACTATTATTGTATATGGATCTAGAGTATGTCCGTTGGAGTTGTATGATATACGAGAGCGACTTAGGCGTATCCTGTGCGGAGACTAGAAACAAATCCTGATATGGTCACCTGACAGGCACACCCATTCATCTAAACTAACATTCTTGTGTGATTTCAGTATAGGATGTTAATTTCGGTACAGAAACAACGTTTCACACATAATTATTTTTCGCAAATTGACAAATTAGGGAATATAAAAGATACCGTTTAAGGGCAAACACAGACGGGACATTCTGTAAGGTTCAGGTTGCCAGGTTACCAATTAAACGAGTTGCTAAGTGAACAGCAGACACTGGTAGTATTTTGTTCGGTCTCGGCGGTAATAAATTGAGAGCCTACATGGTGATCTGCAGCATGCCGTGATCCTTGTCAAAACACAACAGTCTTATCTATAGTAATATGTAAAGCCATTTCCAAAATCTAAATGTAGCTGTCGTCAGAACAACCAAATCAGTTTTCGTCACCCTCTAAGACAAACCATCATGTTTATACTACCGATAATCTCCAAGTACCCGACCCAGAAATGACGTACTCTACAACATTTACATTCACATCGAGTACGTGCCATGTGTACAGTACGTATTTACTCTATTAAAGACGCACCACACCATAGAAGCGTGACATAGTATGATAAGTATCATACGTCTGACCACGTTTTAGATATCATGAATTAATTAATTGTCATGCACCATCCACAAAATTGTTTCTATTTTGACAGAAAATGTTTATATAAAAACTAAAAAAATTTTGATCAAAAACTAGAAGCGGTGTCACATTCTATCTGTTTGGTTACAAATAATTTACCCCAGTTGGAAAAAAAGATTGGCACTCAAAGGTTTTAGGGAACTCAAGACAAATTGAAGTTGTACACTACTGAGCATGGTACTGAGCATGTGCAATGCATTATGGGAGAGAACTTCCCACTAAATATAATGGAAAAAAATATTATCACATGAAAACTTGATCACTAATTAAAATTAATGTTTTTTTAAATGAAGAATTACAATGTAGTTTAATGAATACTTATCAATTAAGTAATGGGGAAGGGGGGAAATTAGTGAATGGAATGAGATGAAATACAATGTAAGTAGGAAAGTGGGTGAAAGGGGGGGGGGGGGGTAGAAGGGGAAGAATAGTTTGAGTGAAAAGAGAAGAAAAATGGAGTGTGACCAGGAAGAAGATAGCACAATAATGGAGGAGGAAGTGATGTAGGAAAGAAAGAGGTATGATTTAGAAGGAATGAAAACTAAATTTAATTCTGACGTATACATGAATAGCTTACCTTATGCCAGCCCTTGCAACCTTTTCCAGTTCGGCAGCGTAGTGGTGAGTAATTTCCGATAATTGTAAAGACACGCTACATATGGGACAAGATATAAGCCTGCCACTACCATCCGCTTTGCTAGACTTGGAAATACCTAGAATAAAAAAAGACTATTGTGATAAGAACTGAGCAGATAATGTAGACAATAGAATTCTACCATATTGTCAACATGCACAGAACAATAAAGTTTGTTTTATTTAATATTGCCTTGATCAAACCTTTGTGGAACACTTTGGATAGATAAGTTTGCTGCATCTTTGTAATATTTTGGTTGATGTCAGTCACTTAATTGGTTGTGCATTACTCTACATTGGAGTTTTTTCAGCATGCACAAATTCAATGTTCAGTGAAAATTCGATTTACGCAAACGTATATTTTAAAATGTCTGCGCACAAAGCTACATCCATGAAATAACTTCTATTTTTTGGACGACCAAAACAATTTTTTTTTACCATAAATCATAATATCAAAAAATTTTAAAAAGTTTAAAATTACATATTTTTTTCAACAAAAAAAAATTTATATATTTTAAATTTGCACTCAATTATTTTGAATGTGATTTTTTTTAGTTGAAATATCATTATTAACGTTCACTTCACGAAAGACTATTACTCGTTTTCATGAGAAGCTTATTGATATAAAACAGGTGGTTCTTGTTTGAGATTCACTGTTCGTTGGTAAATAGTCTGCCAACTGTACTGAGGTATACAGACTATGAGAGTTGTGTGAAATAGAGAGTATGGCCACAAATGGTTAATATAAAATAGTGGGGAAAATGCAAATAATTGTTAACAAGAGAAAATTATATTAAAAAACAAGGTGAATTTATCTAGGTATTAATACTGTTATTTAAATTCATTGGATCTGACACACTTGGAAATTTAGCAATATCACGAGAAATTGCATGTTAAAATACAGATTGTCTGGTGAATTTATAATGCTTGTGTTTATTATCATATATATAAACCAAAATATTGTGAACAATGTCGTCCTGTCATTAAACCACTGAACGCCAAATGCAGAATTTTTTTTTGCAGATTTTTTTTTTACAGATTTTTTTTCAAAATTTGATCAAGGTCTTTAGTGAATGGAAAATTAAATCTAGTTTGTCAAAAATTAAAGGCACGAAAATTTGCAAAACTAACATTCATCATATTTACTGTTAACGATAATACGAATGCATTTTATGTTAGTAGTTTCAATATTTTTTCTAATCGCAGACCTATAGTATACGTCATTACGATCTGCTATCGCGTGTCTATACTTTGGTACATTGTCAATTATTGTTTTTCATCATTCATAGAATTATTGACTATTAAGTTGAAAAAATAGATGATACAGTGAAGCCAATCTCCTCTCAGACCGGATAGCCTTACTAACAATCGTTGCTTAGCCATGGATATGATACATGCAGATACACACGTACAACACTGTGTGTGTATAACGCATACGCATAACGTGTCTTTTATATTATTAACCAATTCAATGTCATCCATGATTCTGGATTACTGAAAATTTTTTTTATCATTTCTCATTCTTTTTTTTTTTTAATGAAATTTTCATTGAAATTTGAAATCAAAATTTTCTGGCGGGAAGTAAGAAGTAAGAAGTGACCAGGGGGTATGTATGTTATTGTGGATGCAATGTTAAAGGGTGGCAGTCATCGTGCCGCGTCCTGTTCGATATGGGACTCATAGCGACGTTTACAACGCATGTAAAATACATTGTTTATTTACATGAAATTCGAACACACGCTGTGCGACAACCACCACACTTTAAAGCATTGCCTGCTGAAAGTCTCCACAAAAATACCAAAATTACCGGGAGAAATGGTCAACAGGAAATGTGATAACAGTAGCAGCGACAATTTTAATTAGAATTAGAATTTTCAGAAATTTTCTCCAACCTATTATTCAAGTACTCAAGAATTTGTTATTTTCATTCAAAATTATACCAGAAACAAGTGAAGAAAAAAAAAAAAAAACATTTTATTTTAATTTTTATTAAAACCAGACTATATCATTATTTTAAAAACCTTTACGAAAAAAAAACATCAACACATACAAATTACAAAAAGTTTGTCATCCCCCAGTATTCTGATTGGTCCTGAGAAAATTAAATAATCACCAAATTATATTTGCATAATAAACATTGATTTATTAAATTTCCCACTTTTCACAATATCTTAAACTTGAAAGCCAAGTACTTAAAAACACCAGATCACATAGTAGAACAATGAAACTTGGTACAACATATACATATGTACAAGTACTATTTGATCAACTAAACTGGCTTTGAAAAGCATGCGTTTAAAATTAAATAGACTCGAGTTACACCCAGCAGACATGTGTGAAGTTCCCAACGCCCTCCACCAATTGATCAAAAGCAATCACCTAATCAATTATTTAAAATATGCCAAATAATAATTAAATGAATTGGCAGAAAATGCAACGACAAATAACACTTCAAAATTAGAGTGCTGCTACTATCACCCCTCTATCGCACTCTAAATCCAATCAATATTGTCATAATTATTATTCTTTCAGGGCTTCAATGGCACAAACAGACCACAGAACTCTCTCCCATACAAAACAGTCAATGCTGAAAAAATCTGTTTTTTCACACCGTATTTCCTTGTCTATTCAACAGTGTATCGCACACCATTATCCTAACTGCTTCTCCACCTTATTTCCGCTGTGACACAGAAAGCCATTCAATTTGTTTCTTTTTATAACATGACTTCTTCTTCCATATTTTCTTCCCTGACAGATCAGCCAATCAGAGTACATGTCATCGATGATATACAAACAAAAACTGCTGCTATACAACCTGCGCTTTGAAGGTACGCATTTCAAGATAAGCCCGGCAAAGACAACTCTATTGTGTGTTGGATATACTGAAACATATGGCCCAGCGCAAGACGAGCAGAAATCGGCGTATTTTAATAATTGACTTGTACGTTTAACAAAAGCGATAACAGTCAGAAACGTGGCATTTTCCCTGTGAGACAGTATGCTTGTTGGTTTCTATTGAAGGTTTTAATTTTAAGATATTGTATGCAATAATGAATAAATTAAATTTGTATAACCACAAAACGTATTCCTGATGGGATGTAGAACGTAATATACATGTATCAGAGCACAAAAAAAAGGATTTGCTTTTTGTAATCACACGTGT